AGCTATATTGCAATAAAAGAATATAATAATAAGTTCTCAAAACCTAAAAAATATTTATTTAAAATCTTATATTAACCATATGATATAAGATTTTAAATAAATATTAGAATGTGTTAGTGAATGTAAAAAAAATACTTATATACTAACCAATACACGCTATAGGTAAAAAATATAGGAAAACAGCACAACAAAATCAAAAGAAACCGTTGCGCGAGTTCAACCCTAGTACATTAATAATACACAACAAATGTAAAGACATGATCATAAAAGACATTTTTCCCTGAGACTTATAATAGTGTCTCTAAGGCTTGATTCAATAGGAGTGAACTCAACTCCCAAACTCTTCGCTTTCTCCACACACACTTTGTAAGTTGCTAGATTCATTTCACTTTCTCCATTCCTAAACCAAAAACAAAAAATGTTTTTNGAATTACCTTTTGTTTTTGGAATCACCTTTGATTAAATTTATGGACTTAGTATGATGATAAAGTAAAGATGAAGGAAAAGAACTCACATATCAGCAAGAGACAAATCTGGAAATAACTCACGCAAAAGCTCTCTAACGTCATTTACGGTCACGCTTGGACCATCGATGATGTATCTACCATTAGCTGAAGGAGTCTCCAATGCTTTGACATGAGCCAAAGCAACATCTCTCACGTCCACAAACCTATAGCTTCCAGTATTAAAAGTGCTCTTACCATTTATGATATCCACAATCATCTCTACCGAAAAGTTTAGTGTTGGTTGCAAAATTGGTCCGATTATAAATCCTGGATTCATCACGACCATGTCGATTCCATTGTCTTTGGCAAATTGCCAAGCTGCATTCTCTGCCAAAGTCTTGGAGAGTGGATACCAATACTGAAGATGAAAAAGAAAAGTGTTAATATAGAGAATCCAAACTCTCACAAAATTGATATATATATATATATGTTCACAACAAAACCTAAGGACCTTTGTCTCCAAGCATAAATTTGGATCAGAGAAGAAAGTCTCGTCCACCACGTCGTTTGGTCCCAAAGGAGGTTGACGAACAAGAATCGCAGCCGTGGACGATGTTACAATGACCCTTTTGACAGATGAAGTATTTTTGCATGTCGTAAGGACGTTTATGGTTCCATTTACGGCTGGATCAATCAGCTCAGTCTGAAAGAAACCACATTTTGATAAATTTAATTTTGGCATTTAAAACGTTAGAAATGATTCCACTAATTAATAGTAAAACTTAAATATGCATTGCATTTCTCATAACAAACCTGAGGATCCGTGACGGTGAATTTAACCGGAGAAGCGGTATGGAAGACAGCGTCACAACCTTTGATAGCTTGCTCGAAAGAACCTTCTTCCAAAAGATCTGCTTTGAACAATTTGAGTCTTTCGTTTGCACCATCTAATGCAAGGAGATGGGCAGTTTTCTTCGTGTCACCTAAAGCGGAAACAGAACATATACGTCAAAATGCACTTCAACGTGACATACTTAGGTTCGATGAATGATTTACGTCTTTACTTGTACTCTCAAAACTTGGTTCGAACTTGAATGAGATGTCTCATTTAATTTGGTTCACGTTTTTGTGTTCAAATTATAGAGTTATAGACTTATAGTTAAAGTTTTAATATTTAAAATTAATAAAAGACCAAATCGGAACAGTAAACAATTTAAAATTAATATTTTAGATTATTGCTATAGAAAATACATATATACCGAACAAAAGCTTTTGTTCCAGTAAATGAGAGTGAATGTTTAACACGATTCAAAATTAATGTTTAATATGTTGTTGGAATAGATTCGTTAGTAAAAGGAAAATCAAGGAAAACAAAGAAAATGGAAAAATAAATTAAAAAAAAATCAAGCAACAAAGGAAATTGGAGAAACGGAAATCGCGAAGAAAAGGCAAAATCTAGAAAATAGAAATTTACTATATTGTTTAGAATCGTAACTCTATAAATAGAATTCTAGTCTTAAGGTTGTATGTATCAAACAAAGATCAAAAACAATGAGAAAGAAAGAGAGAATTAATAATAAAAAGAAAGGTTTAAGAAAAATTTTTATTATAGAGAAAATCTCAACATGGTATCAGAGACAAGGTCCTGAGTGTTCTTAAGAAAATTCGTTACGTGCAAAATTCGTGCGAAACAAATTCCGCTGCAAAATCGTTCTGAGCGAAATCCGGGTTCGTGAAAAGAAACCAGTTCGTGCAAAGTTCGTCTCTGTGCAAAATCCGAGTTCGTGAAAAGAAACCAGTTCGTGAAAAGAAACCAGTTCATGCAAAGTTTGTCTGTGCAAAATCCGGGTTCGTGCAAAGTCTGGGCATAAGCTAAAAGATGACTAAAACCTTGTAAACAGTAACTATTCCAATGTTTGATGGGCAAAACTATGAGTTTTGGGCTACAAGGATAAAAACTACTTTAAGGATTCAAGAACTTTGAGAAATTATGGAGGAAGGACTTCCACCAAAGCCAAAAGAAAAACCTGAAGAAAAAGGAAAATTATTAGAAGAATGGAAAGAAAAGGAGATGCAAGATATGAAAACTCTACAATTGTTACAGATGGTTGTGACAGATTTGGTTTTAATGAAAGTAGTTTCTGCAACTACATACAAGGATTTTTGGCAAAGGCTACAAGAAACCTATCAAGGTGAAACTTATGAGGCTGGATTGTTTGAACAAGGAGTTC